ATTCTGGTAACCATGTTGTTCTGATTTTACTTGACCTAACTGCTGCCTTTGATACAGTAGACCACGACATTTTAATATCGCGATTACAGCACATTGTTGGTATTGATGGCACTGTTCTTAAATGGTTTAGGTCTTACTTGAAGGAGAGAACATTTTCAGTGTAAATTAGTGACTCTGAATCATCTGCTGCTTCAATGCCTTATGGTGTCCCGCAGGGCTCAATTCTGGGCCCTCTGCTTTTCTCTCTTTGTTTACTGCCTCTGGGTTCTGTCCTTAGGAAACATGGGATTTCTTTCCATTGTTATGCTGATGATTGTCAGATTTATTTGCCCATGAAGCAGAAGGATGTCCATTCCATCAAACATCTCCTGGCATGTCTAGGAGATACTGTATTAAAGCTTGGTTGGCCTTGAACTTCTTAAATTTTAATGAAAACAAAACAGAGGTGATGGCGTTTGGACCCAGTGGCTCCTGTGAGTCCTCCTCTGTGGACCTGGGACCCTTGGAGGTATATTTTAAACCTGTTATTACAGATCTTGGTTTTAAGGTCGACAGTGATTTTAAATTAGACAGCCAAATCAAAGCCGTGGTTAAGTCCAGCTTTTATCATTTAAGGCGATTGGCGTCAGTGAAATCTTTTCTGTCCAGTCAGCAATTTGAAACAGTGATCCACGCTTTTATTTCAACTCGATTGGATTACTGTAACTCACTTTACCTGGGAGTCAGTCAGTCACTGCTCTCACGTCTGCAGCTGGTTCAGAATGCTGCTGCACGACTTTTGACAGGAACTCAGAAGAGGGAACATGTGACCCCTGTCCTGGCCTCACTTCACTGGCTGCCTGTATATTTTAGGATTCGTTTTAAAATTCTTATGTTTGTTTTTAAATCATTGCATAATCTTGCCCCGGCTTACCTCTCTGAGCTTCTTCATCCCTACGGACCTTATCGGTCTCTCAGGTCAGCAGATCAGCTGCTCTTGGAGGTACCGAGAACAAAAAGGAAGCTCAGAGGGAACAGGGCTTTCTCTGTCATCGGCCCTAAATTATGGAATGACCTGCCTTTGCAGGTCAGAGAGGCCCCTTCACTGTCCACTTTTAAAGCTGGTCTTAAAACCCATCTATTTTACTTGGCTTTCAACACCAGTGGGATCTAGTTTTAAATTGTGTTTTTGTTTTTAAACCGTTTTTAATTACGTTTTTATTATGTTGTGTTTTAATGTACAACACTTTGTATCAGCTGTGGTTGTTTTAAAGTGCTTTATAAATAAAGTTGGTATGGTATCACTGTTTCTGTTTGATGACAAAAGAAGTCAAAGGAACTTGCTCAAAAGGTTATTTTTTTTACTTTTTATTCAGTTGTTTGCCTCTTTTAAAGCTGCCCTCATTAAATGTATAGTCACTCATTTAGGCCTATCACCGTAACAAATTTACTGGACGGTAAATTGTCTCATAAATTATTGTGATAAACGATAACATTGTTTGGAGATTATTTTAAACTAAAGGGCTCGACACACGGGAGGCGACYTCGCTCGCTCTCCATTCATTTCCTATGGAGCCTGTGCGGTGAGGCGACAATCGCTTGCCCTCCTCCAGTTAAGCGACCGGCGAAAATAGTGCATGTGAAATTTTGCGCTCGTACACGTGCACGTGCACACGCGAGCTTGCGACGCGACATATGAAAGTTGAAAAATGTTCAACTTTTGTCGCTGTCGCTTAGCGTACAACCAATCAGCGAGGGTTTCATTGACTGACCAATGAGAGGAGAGTATGCTACACACTGCCGTTAGCTAACACTTTCACCAAGTGATTACTAAAAAGCTTTGTGGGAATTTATTGGCACCAGGGTGAAGTTTATGGTAAGTTTTTCCTCATAAAACTGTATCTTGATGTGTGTTTGTCTTTCAATATCATTAGCATCGCAAGATTTGTTTAGTTTACACGTCCGTAATGAACACCCGCCTTCAGAGTCAAGAACCAATCAAATTTCGTGAAGAAAAGCGACCTGAGAGCGCGATTCGCAACGCTGCGATCCCTATCGCGTCCCGTGTGTCGGGTTTCACCCTGGCTGCGATGACAGCCGTTAATCGCTGTAGTTTGTCGCTCCCCGTGTGTCGAGCCCTTAATATAATGATACACCCTGTTGCTTATGGAGTTTACGAAGGTTTACTAAATTTATGCCCTAAGTTGTCCCCAGCTGAAAGAAGGTGTTGAAAAGCTGAAGACACTCCTCTGGCTAAATGTCTGTTCACGGGGCTCTCATGCTACAGAGGTTAGAGACCATGAGGCTGGTAAATATTGTACCTGACACTAAAGTTCTCTCCTCTCTAAGGAGCAGAAAAAAGGGATACATGAAGAAAACAAACAAGCAGGCAAATAACATTATTGACATCATTTTATTTATCGACCTCATTTTTAATTAATGAAATTGATCGTGTTGTCGATTTATTGCTTATCGTGATAGGCCTACGTTATATCAAACTATCAAAACTACTTTTGGTCATCCAGACCAACCTAGTAGGTTGGAAAAACTTGGAATATCAGTGCCTGTGACATGCTTTTTTTACAAATACAAAAGTTGCAGACATTTTATCACATAACTGGTATATTTTTGTTTTGAACTTGTGGTCGGTGCAACAGGAAATTAAGCCTTCCCAGATAGCAAAATATGAGTGAATCAACATTGAAATATGTTTAGGCATGATATTGAATCCATGTTGAAATTATACAAAAAGTTAGGTTAAGTTTTCAACTATAACTGACAGTTTATTAGTATTGATTCAACATTGATTAAATGTTGGCATTTCAGTCATTAGAACTGGACCATGAAACATTGATTCAGTAACATTTTTTCAACATTCATTAATGGCTAGAATTGGATGATTGTTTGATGGGTAATTCACCATCAACCGCCAACCTTAATCAAAAATAAACTTTTTTGACCATAATTCAACATTGAATTAACATCTTTTGCTATCTGGCTCAGGTCTTTATCCAAGGGGAAAACATAAAGTTATTTAACTTCTTGTATGCAAAGCCTCATTCTGTCAGAGATTTCACGTATTGGCAGAAAATGGCAAAGCCTGATCCATGTAAAAACTAGGGTCATGAATATAAAAAGAAAATAGTTCTTGTTATTTTTGAGTAAAAGTACAAAGGGACTAAAGAGACATTCTGTGATCTACCTTGGTGTCAGATATACAGTGTTTAAAAAGCCTAAATCTGTAATAGTCTTTTGTTATCCACACGAATGGACTTTAATGATTTTTTTGTGTTTTCTTATATTAATATTATATATAATATGATATAATATGATTTCTAGTGAGTTCTTTTATTTTTAATTGATTTCCTGGATTGTGATAAAATGTATCTTATACATACTGTATATGAAAAAGTTGTTGATAGAGAGAAAGGTGTACAAAATTAATTGCTAAAAATTGCTTTCTAAATTATGTTCTGTATGTTCTCAAGGCCACATAAAACTATTTGGATTTATATTTTTATGTTGATAATAATTTGTTAATCATCCATCCATCTAATACCTTTACATGCTTCATTTCAGGGTCACTGGTACCCATATTCAGCAGTCATTCATTCATCAGTCTATCACAGGGCCATCCATCACAGGGCCATTCCATCACAGGATCAGTCTATCACAGGACCATTCCATCACAGAATCAGTCCAGCACAGGGCCAGTATATCTATCACAGGACCATTCCATCACAGGATCAGTCTATCACAGGACCATCCCATCACAGCATCATCAGTCCATCACAGGGCCAGTCTATCACAGGGCCAGTCTATCACAGGGCCAGTCCATCACAGGGCCATCCCATCACAGGGCCAGTCCATCACAGGGCCAGTCACAGGGCCAGTCTATCACAGGACCAGTCCATCACAGGGCCATTCCATTATATGACCATTCTATAACAGGACCATTCTATCACAGGATCAGTCTATCACAGGGCCATTACACAACATTTTGTCAATACATATTGGACTTGGATCAAGTTTTAAAATTTTTCCCCCTTGTGTCCCAGAGTTTGGTCCCCTGGGTTAAAGGGATCAGATTGGATTGATCTCAGCAGTACTGATCCTGTATCAGTTTGGTTTTGGGGATTGAAATATTTCATTCCTTCATGACGCGTTGTGAAACGTAGAGGTTTGAGATTGGCTAATGTAGTGCTCTATCACATTTTATATTGTTTTAAAAGCTTGAAAAACGTAAAATTTGCTATTTGTTTGTTAGCCTTTAGCCTAGCCTGGTGGAAGGCTGATAAGATACTAACTATTGATAACCATTAAAGAAACAGTCCCACAGCTTTAAGCTCATGTTCTGTCTAAGCGTGCAGCCCTGATGAAAGGGGAGTCAGTGACCGTGTGCTGGATGACTGCAGCTTTACATTTTGTTGTTGTTCTTCATGCTCTCAGGCTAATCGTTCTGACCTTTCTCGCCTCGCAACACGACGTCTTCTTCCACAGCCCAGTTTCGAGCTCCTGTTCTCCTCCTGGCAGATCCGCTCACCCCTGACAGTCTCATCTACTTGAGGAATAAGAGTCAGTGTTTTCTGCCTGCAGCTCCTCCTCAGACTGTCATTACCCTCCTGCACGGCTCACTGCTGTCCTCACGGTTCTGTTTGCCCTCACAGTTTTTGTTCTTCAAACGGACCCTTTTATAGAAGCAAACTTAGGTTCAGGACATTAAAACCTTCTAGTTTGTCCTCAAACTACAAGCACATCTACCAGACGTGTCCTTCCTGAGCACTTAGCACAACTCAGTCTCTGATATTTCTGAAGTTTATATTTTTATTGAGAAAGATTTTGAGAATAAATGCTTATTGGTTTGGATTTAACAAACCATCATTTTTGGCTGATTTGATGTCTTATAAAGTTGTTGAAATAAATCCTGGGCAGAACCTTTATTAAACACACAGCTTTTAATTTTCAGCAGAACTCCTTCTCGTGTGTGTCAGCTTTGACTCTTCCTTCTGGTCTTTCCTCAGACCTGCGGAGAATGACGGCTGGTTTCATGGGCATGGCGGTGGCCATCATCCTGTTTGGTTGGATCATCGGTGTGCTGGGCTGCTGCTGGGATCGTGGTCTCATGCAGTATGTGGCCGGCCTCCTCTTCCTCATGGGAGGTGAGTCTTACAAGCATACGGTACTGAACAGTAACATTAACAAAGTGTTCTGTAATATATTATAATAGAAACTATAATAACTCAACACTCACAGTTTTAGTCCAACTTGTGTTGTCCAACCATCACAAATAAATACAAATAGATCAGACTTTAATTTGAAAACAAAGTGTACTTTTGAAAACTGCCAGGGCATGGGTAAAAGGGTAAATTTGTAAGAGTTTGGCTCCAGTATTAGAGCTATTAAAATTATAACTAGTACACTTTAGTTAAATTAAAGTAAAGCCAACAGACGAAACACAGCAGGAAGCCCTCCAAACAGAACAACTAGTGGACCAGAATCAAATCCCAATTGGTCAGTGATGACACATGGTCTGTGTCCAGTTCTGCTCCTTTAACATCCGTTCAAAACAATTCGCTCGCTTTAGTTACAGTGGACAAGGTGAAGTGTCCAAATAGCTCTTTAGAAGACAAGATGAGTTTCGCTACTGATCCAAGTCCAGTAGAACAGGACACACAAGGAAGAATGACACACAGGATGGTAATTGGGTGTGGTAGCTGAGACTGATCCAATCATGCATTCTGAGCACTGACAGATTGCACATTAGAGTCTGTCTATTAGTAAAATAGCTCATGAAGCATTGAGAAAAAAAATTATAAGGCTTTATACTGGTTTACTTTTACAGTCAACCCAATTCAAGATTTCTGCCGCAGACTTAGAAAGGCTTAGTACAACCCCTGGCAAAAGTATGGAATCACCAGTCTTGGATGAGCACTCATTCAGACATTTCATTCTGTAAAACAAACTCAGATCAAAAACATGATACAAAGTGCAACTTGTTGGTTTTCAGGAACACTCAAAATATGAAGAGAAAACATTGTGGAAGTCAGTGAATGTTAATTTTATTGACCAAGTACAGGGAAAAAAATATGGAATCACTCAATTCTGAGGAAGAAAGTATGGAATCACTCAAATTGGAGGTAGAAAATAAGGACACACCCAGTCAATTTCCTTTCCCTAAATGGACACCTGCCTCAGATTAGATCTGCTCAGTAGTCTGCAGTTAAAAACACCTGCAGTCATGACACCTTGGAGGGCTGCTGGACGAAGTGGAGTGGCAAGAACCATGGCTCCAACAAGAAAAATGTCTCTTGAAACAAAAGAGAGGATTGTGAAACTTCTTGAAGAAGGTAACTCTTCACGCATGGTTGCTAAATATGTGGGCTGTTCACAGTCAGCTGTATCCAAGAATGGACCAAATACAAACAGCATGGAATGGTTGTTAAAGCCAAGCGTACTGGTAGACCAAGAAAGACATCAAAGCATCAAGACAAACAACTTAAGGCCATTTGTCTTGAAAACCGGAAAAGTACAACTAAACAGATGAAGCATAAATGGGAGGAAGCTGGAGCCAACGTATGTGACCGAACCGTAAGAAATCACCTAAAGGAAATGGGATTTCATTACTGGAAAGCTAAAAGAAAACCATCATTAACACCTAAACAAAAAAGAACAGGACTGCAATGGGCTAAGGAGAGGCAATCATGGACTGTGGATGACTGGATGAAAGTTATCTTCAGTGATGAGTCAAGAATCTGCATTGGACAAGATGACGATGCTGGAACTATTGTTTAGTGCCGTTCCAGTGAGATTTATGAAGAGGACTGCCTGAAGAAAACAACCAKATTTCCACAGTCCTTGATGATATGGGGCTGCATGTCAGGCAAAGGCACTGGGGAGATGACTGTGGTTCATTCTTCTATCAATGCACAAGTTTACATTGACATTTTGGACAGTTTTCTCATCCCTTCAATTGAACAGATGTTTGGAGGTGATGAAATAATTTTCCAAGATGACAATGCATCGTGCCATAGGGCAAAAACAGTGAAGGCATTCCTTGGAGAAAGACACATTCAGTCGATGTCATGGCCTGCAAATAGTCCAGATCTCAACCCAATTGAAAACCTGTGGTGGAAATTGAAAAAAATGGTCCACAAGAAGGCTCCGACCTGCAAAGCTGATCTGGCAACTGCTGTCAAAGAGAGTTGGCACCAAATTGATGAAGAATACTGTTTGTCACTCATCAAGTCCATGCCTCAGAGACTGCAAGCTGTTATAAAAGCCAAAGGTGGTGCAACTAAGTACTAATGATGTATTTTGAATGGTCTTTTGTTTATCTGTTTTTCATGATTCCATACTTTTTTCCTCAGAATTGAGTGATTCCATATTTTTTCCCTGTGCTTGGTCAATAAAAGTAACATTCACTGACTTCCACGATGTTTTCTCTTCATTTCTTTGAGTGTTCCTGAAAGCCAACAAGTCACACTTTTGAATGACCTTATTATTGTATCATGTTTTTGAACTGAGTTTGTTTTACAGAATGAAATGTCTGAATGAGTGCTCATCCAAGACTGGCGATTCCATACTTTTTTCCAGGGGTTGTAGCTGGGAGTCATTCAGTGTGACATCTCGCAATATCACATGATGTCCCACTTAAGAGTCTTTTTACGGTTTGGCCAACCAACTACAACTTTCATTTTTCACTAGAAAATGAGCCGAATCTTAAATGCAGCAAGTGATATCCATTCTTTCAAAAAATGTTGATGGTTTTTAATGTCTGAATAAGTGAATATATAATGATCATGCAGCCATGTTTGGACAGTGAGTAGAAGCTTCACACACTGATGAGTTGCATGTTGCACACACACACACACACACAGGCAGCTGCACACTCAATTATAATCTGCCTGGGATTAAGGCTGTGCCCTGCAGTTGTATAACGAACAGGCAATTAAAAAAGCCAATTATGGTTCTTGGTAATAAAAGCAGAAGAAACAGGCTGAGTCAGTCTGCAGAAGCCAGGAACCCACAGGGTCACAGAGCTCCCACAGTCACGCCACATTTAGAAGCTGTTTCTCTAAATGTGTCCATATAATTCAACATGACATGCTGCAAGCACAGCTTTCAAATAAAGGCTTAGTTTCCTGAATGCATATCACCCGCCTCTTTTTGTACCAGAGTTTGAGATAATAAAAAAAACCCGTCGTACAGCTGTTTAGGACAAATCATAAAAATAAAGTTAGTAATATTTAGAGCAATATCATTAGATACTTAGCTCAGAGTACATGCTGTGAATGACAGCTATTAGCTCAGATATCTTCTGGATTAACATTAAAAGTCATTGAGTGCTGCAGGATGAGTCAAAAGTCACAGGACACCATTTTGTTTCAGAAAGAAAAGGGAAAATGAAATATCTAAATACCCCAGTAAGTTGTGGGTGAGGGGGCCTATCTTTGGAAAAACTTGCCCTTGATCCAATATGGCGGCCATGTAAGGTCCATTCACTCATTACTTACTGGGATAAGTTTTATTTTCCCTTTTCTTCCTGAAAGAATAGGGTGTCCTGTGGCTTTTGATGCACCCTGTAGATCTACTTTCATGATTACTTTCTAAAAGTTTCAATAAAATCTGTCTAGTGGTCTATGAAAAATATTTTGCTTACAGCAAAACACTGTTGACATCAACGATCATTGTTAAAGGTGACCTATCTGAAAAAATCCACTTTTTTAGCCGTTTATTGATAATGTTGTGTATTTAGAGCCTCTAGGAGTGTAGAAAGGTTTACTTTATTCTCTCCCAACTCTGTTTAGATCTCTTTATATTCTATTTGGGTCGTGTTTTTCAACCCATTCGGTTTTTCTATTTTCTATGGCATTTTCTGAACTACTGTCACAGAGTTTGTGACAGAGCAGATGTATAAGGTCTGGATTTACCAAGTACAGTTTGGTGGTCTTCATTCTCCTCTGGTTCTGGGTCAGAATCTGGCTCCAACATGTATATCTGGATGTCTTCTCTTGACGTCTTTTAATTCATTTGTAAATAAAAACATTTCTGTGCAGCTATATAGTCATAACCCCCCTCAATCAAACTAGAATGAACTGATCTGATGCTGGTGGGGGTTGAAGCGCCTCATTTGGATTTAAAGAGACAGCCTCAAAATGAGTTGATCTGAGAAACCAGAAAAGGGGCGGGGCTTGTGGATTTACAATAAGGAGGAATTCAGACTAAAGCATTGCAGTTCCACTTCATACAGACCCAACTGAAGGATTTAAATGCATGTCTCCTTTAAAGTGTTACGCAAAGATCTCAGTGGGTTAGGTTAGAGTTTGTAGCTGAGAGTCAACACAGTCTGCCACGTCACAATTTAAAACCATATTTGTAAGACTAACTAAATTATAGCCATATCTGTGTTTTCTAAATTCAGGCGTCTGTGGCAGCCATCTTGAATCAGGCTGATTTCAAAAGTTTATGTGCATCTAATAAAAATTTGTCCAGTGGTTCACAAGATGTTTTAGTAACAGAAGTGTTCATAAAAAGTAATAACCCTCTGTAGGCTTTTATTATTATCACAAATCAGTCATACGTTTTCTTTAAATATCCACCCCCTCTAAATAGATAGTCCTAATTTAATTCAAACAAAAGATGATTGAAAAGTACAAGTCAGAATGGATTTTAAAGGATTTCCAAAGATCCTAAACATTCTCAGGATAGCCATTAAATCCATCACGAAATGGAAGGAATGTGGGAACATGTGTACAACCCCAGCTCTAATGAAGTTTGGATGTTGTGTAAAACAAATAAAAAAAATAATTTGATGATTTGTTAAAACTTTTCAACCTATATTCAACTGAATACGCTACAAAAACAAGATATTTAATGTTCAAACTGATAAACTTTGTTTTCATATATTCTCTCATTTTTAATTTGATGCCTGAAATGAAATTTACGTATGTAACTACGGTTCTATGAATCCTGAATGACCGCCAGAGGGCGGTGCTAAAAGCACTGAATGTTCCCTTCACGCATGCGCCGTTCGAGCTGTAATACCAACAGAGTCACACCTGTGACCAATCGGATGACTAATCAGAGGCTATATAGCTTGACGTCATCCGAAGCTCTGTTCCTACAGAATCTTCTCACAAATGCAAGGATTCTGAGTGAC